ACAACAGGAGACAAAGGTAAACTATTCATTCTTTTCATTCCTTTATTTACTCTCTTCCTACTCAGCAAGATTGTGTGCTCCATGTGATGTAACGAACATATTCAGCAGGTAAAAATACGGAAAATTCAATACATTGAAAACGCCTTCCTTTGCGTCGCTTAGGCCGTTTCAAAGTGATTTTTCAGCCAGTTTTTGCTTCAATACCACTGATGATATAGAAATAGGGTCAAAACTAAACCTCGTGGAATCGTCGTAAAACGGTCAGAAACTCATCAAGAACCAAGACTATGATCTGTAGCAGAAACATATTAAATAGTAAAAAGCGTTTGAATTCTGGGCTTACGCTGTCACAGAATTAAAAATAATTCGGAAACCATTCAGTGGATAAAGTTAGACAATTGTGATGTTATAGGAGATTGGTAAAGAAGACACTTCTCCAAGTCTTGAGTCTGTGCGTTTTCCTAAACTTCAGATATTCGTCGAAATATTTTGTACAAATTTATAGAGCCCAGTATGGAGCCGCCATGTTGGTGTACCTCCATGGGACACCAACATGGCGGCCCGAAAATAGTGTAAACATCTGGAACTTAGTTTGTTTATCTAGGCCACTGATTATCTGTCCTGAACAAACAAAGATTTACATAAGCCCTTTTCCTAATACTTTAACTTCTGAATAGGCTAAAAATCACGAGATAAGTATGTATTTTTCGACAAACGCGTTCGTAGCTTTATGTCACTCACCGCGATAACTCTGAAATTCAAAATGCGCTGGTTTCCAGAGGAAGCAAGTTACTGATCTGAAAAGTTGTAAACAGATATAAATTTACTTCCTCTTATGCCTAATGAGGATAAAAACTTTGGTGGCTCGTTAGTTTTGGATTTAAGAAAATGATCAAAATCAATCATTCCCATAATATATAGATTTAGCCAAGCCTAAAAGCGGAGCTCCTGGGCCGCTTTGTTCAAAACCCGATTAAGCTAACCCAGGATAAGCGAGAACTTTGATTTGAGTTTTGTAACTTTGCGGTGAGGTTTTACGTTTATTATTTTTGACCCTCTGTTTTGATTTTGGATAATCTCAAACTACACCAGGACCCTAAAGCAGTGAAAAAACACTTGTGTAGAGGATAAATTTATACTTCGGTTAATTTTTAATCCTGGGTTAGCGTTATCCCAATTTCCGAACAACCCGGCCCAGCCTCTGATTACAACCTGACATGAGCCCGTGATTCAATCGAAAACAAGTATTTGGTCAGCGGCCAACTTAAAAAACACATGACCTTTATGAGCTATAACCCTGAGCCCGCTATATGGTCATGTGATACTGGTCAGCGGATACGTTGTTTTGACAGGTGTCAATTGATCATAATATGGACGTCAAATATCAAAGACGTACGCTGGAAACCAAGACTTGGTATTAGCTGAAGTACGGCCGCCATGTTGCGCGACGTCGTCGTTGTCGTTTGTTGGGCGCACACGCCCGCGATGCACGTGATCGTGCGCCGATTACGTGACAAATAGGCGCGCAGAGAACCAATCACTAGTAAAAAAAAACCCGCCGTAGATTTCCGATGAAACTTGGTACTTTTGTTGTTACTGGACAAGGAGATATTTAAAACGTAGTAAAAAGAGGGGGTCACTGCGCTTGTTTTCACGTCACAATGCTGACAAATACGATTATTTAGGTGACTTTTGGTAATCTCCGTGCGCAACAAATAAGCTCGATTATTTTTCAATGCAGCGTGTTATATCACACAGAGTTTGACTTTCTTTGATTGTTTATTCATCTTCGTCTCAGAAAAAATGTCTTCAAATACCCTGCATTTTTTTATCTTTTAAGGAAACATAATTTGGACATGCGCTGTTGGGCCCGTTGTCTCTCTCTGTAGTATTTATTTCGTTTGCCAAAAAAGTGGCCATAGATTTCTGCTAATGTTTTTCTCAGTTATCGAGGATATTGTTCTCATTTAAATTATGAAATAAAAAATGGGGGTCACCGTGTTCGTTTAAGAGAACAGGAGCATTTATTTCGCTATCGAGCTTAGTTTGAGGGAAATCTCTTACGTCTTGTACGCGCACGCTAATGACGCGAAAATCGTGCGCAGTCTACAGTTCTCAAAACTTATGAAACGCGCTACATACTTTTTCGCTCAAAAGAGGTTCTCAAAAGACTTTTTAATTCCGAAATTTGTTACAGATACGATTGATTTTAAGGAAAACGACCACTTTTTTAAGTTTAAAAAACATGTTTCGACAGAACTTCTGTCATCTTCTATGTGCCACTGCAATCGAGTTTGATGTGGGGAGCGGTTTCCTCTGTTCGCGCGTAAGACTGACTCCTGGACAGCTACTGACATCAGGAAAACAAAGGTATGAAAGCTTAGGAAACCTTTCATTCTTTTCTTTCCCTTATTTACTCTCATCCTCACTCCCCGTTGCTGATTCCCTTCCAAACCGCCGCCGTTATTCAAAAGCGAAATATCTGCGTAAGACTCGTTGAGAGTGAGGGAAAAACAAAAGAAAAACCTGGACACACTGCTCAATTGCACAGCATGAAAATCCTCGTCTTCGGCTCGTTACTGTAAGTACTATGTTGGTTGCCTCGACGACACCATACGTCATCATGTATCACGTGACAGTATGCCCGTCCGTTTACCGCGCCCCGCGTCCATCTTGCATTCTTCGCTTCGGGAGTTTTAACAGGTTCATCCGTTTGATATCCTCCATAGTTTTGCCCATCGAAATGGCTGACCATGACCAATGTGTCTATATGGCCAAACTGGCAGAGCAGGCGGAGCGTTATGATGGTTTGTAGGCTTTTCTTGTTCGCCTTTTGTTTTTTTCGTAGAGAGTTGTAAGACAGGTTAAGCTAAATCGATGGAATTTTGCTGTATGCTACTCAACTGATGTATTCCTATCTATATTATTGTCTGGTTACACTTTCGTTTTTGTTAACTGCTGAGCAAAGCTTACGATGGACAATTAAGGAGGGGATTTTGTATTGGAGGCAATATGCCATATCTAGTCGAAGTTTGACAAGCGATAGCTTCCTGAGGTTCGGATCTGTTTGAAGTGTTTACCTGTCGGTACACATTTTTGTTTGAGGGTTTTTTTAAGGAAGTTGTTTACCTCTTTTTGCAGAAATGGTAGAATATATGAAGAAAATTGCTAACGAAAAAGGCCATCTTGAGATAGAAGAGCGCAATTTGCTCTCAGTAGCCTACAAGAATGTCATTGGAGCGAGAAGAGCTTCTTGGCGTGTTCTTTCGAGTCTGGAGAAAAACCAGCACGACCCATCGAAGACCGCCGATATAAAATCGTATAGAGAAAAAGTGGAACGAGAATTAAAAGATATCTGCCAGGATATTTTAAAATTATTGGATGAGCATTTGATCAAGAACGCAAAAGATGCTGAATCGAAGGTGTTTTACCATAAAATGTAAGTCGCTTTGATTTATTTATAAATGTAAGCGTGTACATTATTAGGTTAGGTACACGCCTGTGCGCTGAGTGTATCCAGGTTTGAATTTGATTAGCAAGGCGTTTGAAATTCATGAAGTTTACCAAGCTAGGTATCCGAATCCAAGTTCACTGGAATAATGAATCTCTATAGATTATATAGAGTATTTCGGTATAAACTCTTAATCGATCAACATACGACACTTCGAATTTTTTGTCTTTTTTTTCAGCTGTTTGACTTCCATGCCCGTAGTTAAAAATTTAGTCTTCGAAGCTGTAAGCTTTTTATTAGCCTGCAAGTACAGACTTTTGTTGTCTTGGTGGACTGCTCAAAATTTAATCTGTATTGTTACGACTTGACAGCTTTGATGGCGTGACGATGCAACTCACATGTGACTCGTTTATAATATTATAATTTCAAAAGATATGTTTTAGTACATTATGATTGAATGAGTGGCCTTTTGACCTGCAGATCGATGCTTATGCTATACTTCTCCAGCAACTCCAATCCACTCTGAGTTGGTTTCATTTTTGCTGATGATGATCACAAACATACTTTTACATGTACAAAATAATGCAGTTCTGGTCATTACAGCTTCCCAGATTTGGGTAGCAGTATTTTCATTTTTATTTTACTTGGTGTAGAAACAGACGTTTTGCAGTGGATGGCAGTAGCACATCGAAACAAAAGCTGCTTACTGGGGCAAAGCCACAGTAGGACGCTTATTTTCACTCATCTGCCTGTCATCTACCTTTCAGTTGAGAACTGTGCACCTTGTGTACAACGGTACCTTAGTCACTATTTTGTACACTGATCCTTGTTCCTTGCTCACTGGTTGTATGGCTGAATCTCAACTGAAGCACAAATTGTTAAATGGCAAATTTGATCTTGTACATTTGACGGTTTCCTGTGGCCAGGAAACAGCAGTTTTCTCCTCTGGTGTCAGTAAACAGGGATTTCCATCAGTTTTCAAAAAGCAGATGCTAAGTTCTTGGCAAAAGCCTGGTACATACAAGATTGATCCATTATTTTCTCAGGCTCACTCAAGTTGAAGCTCAAATAGTCAATGGATATTGTTAAAGCATTGAGCAAAAGTCAAGACAGATTAAGTTGTTGGGTGATATCAGTTAGCTTATTATGCCCTGTATTCTTGTGATCACCTGTGTACTGCTCTTGTATGGTTTCTATTCATACAAATTAATGTGCATTGATCTTGGGTATTGTGTTGTGATAGCCCTTTTAGCCAGGAGTAAATTATCTTTTCTCAGCTTTTTGGTTTGTTTTTACATAACATCTTGACTGTTGTCATCATCATTTTGGTCTTTAAAAGGAATTGTTTTCAGCTTAATTGATATCTAAGGTAGGCCTTCTGTTATTAAGCAATGGTGAGCCCAATCTACCTCACATCGCATCCGATTGCTGTCTCTACAGACTTTGCTGCATGTTTTCTGTGCTGGCAAGACTGAAGGGTGGCAGTCTTGCAGTATGGTTAATAAGATAATTAGAAATTGTATTTACTTATGTGTCAATGATCAGAGTCGTAAACAACTTTTGAGTGGGAGGGCAAGGGCTGAATGGATAATTATCTCTTTTGGATAACGGTCAAGTTCACAACATGGCAAGCTGTGCAATATCTTGCTTTAAAGGATTGCTGTTTTCCAACGTGTGGTGCAATAGCTACTTAATTTGTTCTCAAAGTTTAATATCAGCTTAATGACTCAGTAGGAAAGATAGACAGGAAATTGTTTTTCTCTCTGTTGTTGCACATGGACAAGATTAGTGCAATGCTATCAAGGGATTCTTACTACCACTTGTCAGAATAAACCATGTAACGACTAGGACTTTCTTTGCTTTTGGGTGTCACATTTTTCCGTGACCCCCTGGGAATTATGCAACCCACTCTGTAGTACTTAAGCATTCTTCATTATGCGTAGTTTTGTTTTTTCATTTCCTCCAGTGCTTGTTAGCACTGAAAGTTCGATCTGCTGGTTTCTACCGGGTTTTCCTTAGCTGCTTCACTTTTGTTAGCCCTGAAGTACAGATTCTAGAATTTGAGTCACCACAGTTTTTTGAATCACACACACCCATGATCACCATTTGTTTCTCTTGTGCCTACGCCCGGCATGATTAAACTTGTGCATTCAAACTGTGACGTCTGTAGCGCTTACTGGACCTACAAACCAGTTGACTGTGAACACTCCGCTTTGTTGTCAGTTTACTGTTAACTGTATGGTTTGTTTTGCGGGATTGTGCCATCGAACACGACATGAAGCGATTTAAAACAAACACTCAATAGCTCGACTGGATGATTATTCAAGCCATTTTATGTCAAGAGTACCACTGAAGAATTAATCGTTTTACTGGTTCCAGTAGCTGGTCTGTTAGTCAAATTCTAAATGACTCGAATAGGTCAGCATCTTGACACCAGGTGATGTTGTGGAAAAGCTGGGAAATTTTGAAAATATCTTTGTAGCAATTATGTGCATAATGGTTGGCTACTGCCAACCCATTAAAGCCCTACTAAGGTCATCATGCATGTTATTTTTTTGTTGGATTATCTCAACTGGGCCATATGGCAGTGTTTCAAATTACATAGTTAACCAAACAGGGAGTGTAATGAATTTATTCCGTTTTCTGACTTAGACTGGTGAAAGTGAATCAGACCAAGTTTAAACTAGAATTTCAGAGTTCAATCCATAAATGCAATGAAAACATGCACAACAAGACATGATTTGAGTTAAATTTCATCATGTGATCACATGATCATGTGACTAACAATCAGTAAATCAATGTCAGCTAAGGGGGGTCCCCTGAATTCCACACAGGGGGAAATGTTTTTGATTCATCACAGCATTTTTGCAGATGACTTTGAAAATATATGTCTATCATTGGTGGGAAAAAAGGTACAACTGTTTTGTAAATCTAATTCATTCTTATACAAGCTGGTTCTTAGCACTGCTTTAAGAAAACACTGAAAATGTATGGAAAATCCCTGTTGTCTCCTAACCTTCCTTCTGTAACTTCTTATTTGAAGGAAGGGGGACTACTGGCGCTATCAGGCTGAGTATCTTCCTGAAGATAAAAAGAGTAAAGGTGCTGAATCGGAAGAAGCTAAAAATTCTAAGACAGCTTATGAAGCGGCTCAAGATGAAGCCACAAGTTTGCCACCAACACATCCCATAAGACTGGGCCTGGCTCTTAACTTTTCTGTTTTCTACTATGAGATCATGGAACAATCAGACAAAGCCTGTAAGTTGGCTAAGACTGCCTTTGATGATGCTATGTTGGAGCTAGAAAATTCTGACAATTCAGATTTCAAGGATAGCACCTTAATTATGCAGCTGCTCAGGGACAACTTGACGTTGTGGACTTCTGAGTCAGAAGGTACATGTACATTCATGTCTGTTCTGTTTCGTTGGTTATTAACTCTTAATTGGACAATGCAAGTTGTCTTAATCAAGCTTTCAGCCCAAGAGGTGATAAAGTTATGATTCGCTTAAGAACTATTGTAAGCAGCAGGGGAATGGACAACATCTGTTTTCATTTTAGTAATTAAAACTGACTTTGTGATTGGCTGGATTTAATAGTAAGTTGAAAAATAGCCCCGCAAAAAAAATTCAGAGAAGTAATAATGATGGTAGATGAATTCACAGGTGAAACACATGTCTAAAAAGATTTATATTGAGATGGCATTTAAGTTCAGAAACTTGTGTAGAAAAATTTAGAAACTTCATTGATGGCCCTTTTGATTAAAATTTAGTGTTGTTTTTTTATTACCACTTTGCAGATGTAGACCCAGATGGAGAAGACAAGGACTCTTAAGGATCTTAAAGAGAGAATTTAAAAAACTGTATAAACGTAAACAGCTACTGATTATTCTTTTGCTATAGATTGAACAAAGAAAGTTTTTGCTCTGTGCGCAGATAATGGTTAACTTTATGAGCATCCTTGCAGATATTTCCACTGTCAGGGTCCTGTTTCTTAAAGTGCTTGGTTTATGACACTCGTCTATCAGTTGCATCTAAGTGTGAAAGCATAATGAAATGACATTTTCTACATGAGCTTGAAAGTTAATGTTGTAATAGTGGTCTTCAGACTTCAAGATGAAGACGTCAAGACTTCGTTTGATTGAATGACAGATAATGACAGATTGAACTGGGTTGAGGTGAATTTTAGTTCTGTCTTGTAATGGTAAAGGTGATGTCCATGTCGGCCCAAGTGGTCCATACAGCCAGAGCTTTTTCTGCTTTCCGTAGCATTAAGCAACTGGGAGTCAGTCTTTGATGGACAAAATTTGAGTGAAGTCAAGTTTCTGATTATTTATAGCACTTTCAAGCAGGAAGAGAATAAATTTTTGACCCGCTTACACTTGAAGACACATTGAGAGAAATTGTTTATTTTGTTACACAAATCTAAACTTCTCAGTAATTTTTCATGTCTTCATATTGCAACTTTTGCTGAACGAAGTTGTTTTTGCCCCCAACATTGATGTTGAGCACTAATTTTGTCTTGTCAAACTGTCTTGGCTTTGTCCCACCTGAAATGTGTGACAAAACATTAACTAATTATTAATGACACACTATCAGTGTACTGTTGCGTTATTTGCAACTCTTGCCCACGTAAAGATTATCTGCAGGGCTGTCATTAAGGGCTGTAACCTGTAACACCTGTTACGGCTGAGTGTGCTTGATTTTCCCTTGATGTTACGGGCGAAATAGCCTGTTGATAGAATTCACCCACGAAGTACTAAGTTTGCTACTGGTGTGTAGAGCAAGGCTACAGGTGACTCAAAACTTAATGACAGCCCTGACCTGTCATTCAATCAAAGTTTGAAGGTCAAGGAACAATCATGTTACAATAAGTTGTTTTTTTTTTTAATCATTTGTGCACACTTGATGCAACCAATGGTAACTAAATGTACATGTAAACATGACAACATAGCAGTAGCTGTATCAAAGTGCAAGACCCTTTCTCTGAAAAATCTTTGTCAGGAAGCCAAAATTTCATGTAAAATAATTATTAATGTATCTCAATTTCTAGCGTGCAATCTTGAACTACAATGATTATATTTTTAGGTCTGAAAGCATCAATTCAATTTTTGTTACTTCTCCTGGTACACAGGGAATTTTCTGATTGTATGTACTATTATGTATGTATGTATTCACTTTTTTTTAGCAATAAAACAAATAAGCAGTTTGTGTTGATTTACAACAGTTGCATTGCTTTGTAGACTTGTTATAGTTAGCCTCCAGAGTACAAGCCATGACAATAGACCAATTTTCAATATAATTTATTGAAATTCTAACGGGCTCCCGAGGCTTACTAAAACTAAAGAAATTAAATTGACTTAGAGGCACAAAATAGACAAAATTGGCCTATTTTACCTGATGTTTTTGAATTGCTAAATATCTTGTTGATTAGCCTTGGCCTTACAGTGGATGAAGGAAAACACCTTAGTAACCTAGTAAGCTTCATATCAAAGGTGCAAATGCCTTTGTTGTGCATTAGAGCATGTTTCTTGCACTCAATGCAACATTTTGGCAGCATTTTCTTGGTCAGGATTACAGAGGATTTCCAAACTGTGTTTGTATGTCTCAAGTTGGCCACAAACTTGACAATTTCATTACCAAGATACCAGAAATATGAACTTCAAAACAAAGTTGTGAATTTTGTTGTACACTTCAACTTGACGGAGTTTTGAGGCCTGGTTGATAGCGCCATTAGCATACATCCTGTAGTAGTTTGTATAGTGTGATTGTCTGGGTGAGGGTATTTCTAAAAAGAACTGTTGTTGGTGATTGACGTTTCAACAACCTGAGCGGAAGTTATCTTCAGAGTTAAGTGACTCCCTTGACTCTGAAGATGACTTCCACTCAGGTTGTCGAAACATCGGTCACCAACAACAGTAATGTTGTTTTCAAAGCTACCCTCGGATGACTACACTGTACAAACTACTGATACTCCTGGGTTCAAACCATTTACTATGACACATCCTTAACCCAACAAGGACAAGTTGTACAGATCCCCTTCAACAACACCATAGGAATGTAGAAAGATGAACATGATAATTGAGGTGTACCTTGGGAAGATGGGATGGAAGTATCCTGCCTCATGGGGTATGGTTTTCAAGCTATTGTTAGCCTTCGAGCCGGCTCATGTTGAAGCACGAGCCGTGAGTTTAGAATTGAG